ATCCCCGGGGTCCTCAATTTTTTTATAGTTATTGAGTATTTCCTCAAATCCAACGGGCAGCTTAAGATGAATCTTTTTTCTTTTCTTGCTTTGAACACTAGGGTTTTTGGTGACCTTAGCACTCCATGTTCCACCACCCTTTCCATTGGATTGTCTTCCTCTTCTTCCTCCTCTTGTCTCTCCGTGCTGGGTTGGTGAATCTGTTGCATGGGTGGCTGGGGAGTTGCTGGGGTGTCGTGAGGGGCTTGGTGGTTCAGAACTGGACCATGCATGCTTGGGTTCGTTCCATGCATGGTCTGAAATAGGGGGGCTGGATTTGGGGGAGGTTGGATGTTTGGGAAGAGGGGTGAGTGTGTGTTGAGGAGGTTGAACGGTTGGATATGGTTCCATGGTTGATTCTGCCATGCAAGGTGTATCCATGGTGATGGCATTCCTTGATGAAAGGTTAGAGCATGATGTATCCAAGGGTTGCTTATTATGTTCCCCATAGCAATTCTCATGCCTTCCGATATTATTTGAGCCAAGTAGCATGGGTCCTCTATTTGTATGATTATGTCCTCTCTATTGATCCTTAGGCTCATGCTCAATCCGTGTACCATTAGACCCTGTTCCAACCAGCTCTGGGGGGTATGGTTTGGTTGTATTGGTAAGGTTGTGAATAGTGTTGGTGGCTGGGGTGGTTGTGGGATTGTTTGTGGCGGGTTGAAGGTGTGGTTGGGATCTTTGGTGTTGTTCCCTGATCCAAACGTTCCTTCTTGTTCTCATGTTTCTCCTGTGATGATTGTTTGGGAGTCTTGGCATTCTTAGTGGCAGTATTGTTTGAGTTTGTGTATGTGTTGATGTCTCTCTTGTTGGCAGCAAGATTATCATGTGATGGTCTTAAGAAGCTTGGTTGGTTTAATGAAGAAACCACTGGAGAGTTAATGTTACTTGGTTCATTAATGAGGACATTGATTTTTGCGACTGAGGTGGTGACAAGGTGAGTGTTTTGATTTAGTTCCAGGGACATTTTTGGGGGGGCTTGATGTGAGGGGTTGTTTGTTTCAAGTGAGGAGAATCTATTAGTAGTAGTTATTAGGCTGCCGTTACTTTTTGTATTGTTAGACAAGTTGTAGTCTAGGTGTTGACCTAAGGGTAGAGGTTTAGTTGAGATGACTTCATAGTTCATAGAGGGTAGGTAGGGTAGGTGGTTTTGTACCGTGTCTAGGGTGATGGGTACGTGGGTTGGACTGTTTGTGTATATAGGTAGTGTGGGGTTGCTTGGGGGATGATCTTTTGGAGGACAATGGTCTTTGTCCATGGGTTTTTTCTCGTTAAAGGAGGGGTCATTGTCACTTGTATTTGGTGACATGTTTAGGGTAGTGACAAGCCTAAAGTTTGCTGGGGGTGAGAGGGCATTTCCCATGTGTTTGGGGGATGGCTTTTGTCCATTGGGTATTTTCCCTAACGCTTCTTGGGAAGACGATTCCATCTGGGAGGGAATTGCTGAGCTTGGGCTATGCTTTTCGATAGTTTGTTGCATGGAGTTTATGGGCTTCATGGGACCATGTTTACTCAAATCTTGCTTCATTTTTTTCTTATGGTGGGAGACTATGGTCCAACTCTCGACTTTGGCAGTGATGGACTCTATGTCCTGGGGTGATTTGTTGGAGTCGCTAGGCATATTAGTTTTATTGTTTGTCTCCATTTTTTTGTTGGGGCAGGCTAGTACGTTGTGTCCCAGTCGTCCACAGTTTGTGCATAGGACGTTGAAACCTTCGTACGTGATTTTTTGGTAATGTTTCCCCAGTATTATATGGGTTTTTAACTGTTTTTCGATTGGTACTAGGATGCATAGACGAGCATATTTCCCCCTAAGGGCTGAGGAGGTGCATGCATCAATACGTAAGAGTTCCCCTAGTTTGTTTCCTATTTTTTGTAAGATTTCATAGTCGTAGAATTTCGTAAGGAGTTCAGGTAGTCTGGCCCAGATGGCCGAGTAAGTTAGTGAAGCTTCCGATGCTACGAATCTAGGCTCCCATTTCCTTATGGTGAGGAATTGGTTTCCTATGAACCAGGGCCCCTCATGGAGAGCTTTGTTGTAATTTTCTTGATTGTTAAATTTTATGAGGTAGTAGTCGTATCCTAGGTCTATGAGGGAAATAGTTTCAGTTGGTTTCCAAATCGCTTGGAGCTTTCGTTAAAGAAATTGGTACCCAACTCTTTTCCCAAATACCTTAACTATAAGGGCTGTTTCCCAGTTCTTATAAAGTCTCTCTTTATCTTCAGAAGTTATAGGGATGAAGATGTCTTCTTCCTCTCCATCAAGGAAAGGGTTTTCAGTTTCGTCAATGGTAGTTATGTCCATGTTTATGTCGTCTTGGACACATATATATGACGTGTTACTAGTGGTAGGGTTATTGTTTAGTACACTTATGAAGGATGGTTTTCCTTCACTGTAGAGTTGTCCAAGTTTCATACTAGTGTTGGGGGTAGAGGTGTTTTCATTTGTGTTAGTGCTTACATTAAAAGGCAAGTTGGATGGAGGTGTACGTGTATCGTTTTTCCTCGGGCTACCTGGGGTGGTTTCCATCATGGTAAGGTCTTCGAGTGAATGGTTTTTTGAAGTATTGGGGAGCATGTCTTTGGTTTTGGGAAGGTGGAGATGGAGGCAGAAGGTGGAGGTTGAGGGTTATGCTTAGAGAGAAGCTAGAGGCTCTCTCTCTAACCCATTCTCCCTCCCTTCACAGTTTGCAACTGAACCTTTTAGATGATGGTCTGATGATCATTTTTTTTTACAAACCAAAAATTTTATGACAGAATGTTAGACCATATTCTAAAATTTAGAAGTTATTGTAAACATTAGACTACGGACTAATAATTTTTGAGCAAAATAAAAATTAGATGAGCAAATATTAGATTCAAATCTAACTTTGTCCGAAAAGGCTAACATTTTTAGGGCTATATTTGCACAACTTTTTTAAATAAAAACAAAATCTAAATAGTGGCATAAAAGAGGTGCTCTATTTGGTAGCCCCTATTTAATTTGTACCAAATTTTTAATTTTTTTAATTAGTACCTAAAGTACAAACAGGCCTTATCCTCCTTCTCCTCCTCCCCCTCCTCCTTCTTTTAATCACTGTAAAAATAAAGGTGATGGTGAATTTACATGTTGCTTGTAAGCAGGTTTTAAAATGATTTATGATGTTTTACAGTAGGAGCTATTGTGGCGCTCCTTTCTTTGCTATTGCTTAGGGTTTCTTCTTCTTCTTCTTCTTCTTCTTCTTCTTCTTCTTCTTATTATTATTATTATTATTATTATTATTATTATTATTATTATTATTATTATTATTATTATTATTAATTGCAAAATGTGTTTGTTAGATTTATTGCTATTTTTATAAAATGATGATTGGGGCTGGTTGTTTTATGATATTTGAATGTTATATTTCAAATTTTTATAAACAACTTGCTTACTGAAATATTGAAGAAAAATTAAATATAATTAATATTTACAGGAGAGTCCTGTTGTTAATATGTTTATGATATTGCTAGAGCAGGTTTGTTGTTAACCTAGAAATTGAAAGTGTGAGATGCTCTAAAAAATTTTAACAAAATGTAATATTTAAATAACAGTAGTATATTTGATGGATTGAGCCACAAGATTGAAGAAGAAGAATCAAGCTGATTGTATGTGTCAAAAAATAAATGAAAAATGTTGCCAAAATAAAAGATCAATATGCTCTCTGTAAAATGCATTGACAGAAGCTTCAATGTAAAGGGGAAAACACGACACGACGAAATGAATTAGTGTGATTTAATTTGATTTAGAAGTTATTTGTCTAATTTTATAGGCTACTAATTTTAAGATAGGATTTAATTTGTGTATGTTGAAATTAAATAGTGTTTACACTAGCCATGTAATTTAACCTCTTGAATATGTTGCCTACTTTATTTTTATGATAATCATTCCCACTATTAAGAGCAAACATTTCACATTATTTTTTAGGAAAAAGGACACTGTATAGTCACTGTAAAAATATAGCCGAAAAATATATAAAATTTATATATTTTTTTATATATATACATTCGGTATGTTATATACAAAAATTATAAAAATTTTATACACTTTTTCGACTACCAAATGTAAATAATTTTTGGCGCCGGCTAAAAGTGATAATACCCCTATTTTTGGTAAAAATAGCACGGTCTAGCCAGTTTTCGGACTGGTCATTCAAAAAACGCCAGCGTTTACCAAGTCAATAAAAAATAGCCACTATTTTGCTGCAACAGAGACCGGTCCAGCATAATATACTGGAGTTCGGTGCACCTGTGTATGAACTTCCAGCATATTATGCTGGAACTCCAAAACACGGAAAGTTCCAGCATAATATACTGGAGATTCGAGCACTTGTGTATAAACTTCCAGCATATTATACTGGACCGGTATACTTTGCTGGAACTCCAGTATATTATGCTAGAGTTCTAGTGTACTTATGCTGGAACTCCATCATATTATGCTGGAGTTCCAGCATACTTATCCTGGAACTCCAGTATAATATGCTGGAGTTCAAGTATACTTATGCTGGAACTCCAGCATAATATACTGGCGTATTTTCCGAGTTTTGAACAGTGTTTTCGCTCAGATTTATCTTTACATGAAAACTGGCTAAATTTCGATTACTTTTGAAACTGGGCTATTTTTGAACGACCACTTATAAATCTGGCTATTTTTGAATTTCTCCCCTATTTTTGAACTCAAAATCAGGTCCAAAATTGCCCAATTTAGGCTGAAACAAAGGCCCAGCTAAAGTCCATTCAAGCCTAATAAAGTGGCCCGTTAGAGCAGCCACAACAACAGACCCAATCCAGCCACCCACCAGAGACCAGACCAACCGTAGAACCCACTAAAGACTCCCCAAAACGTGGTCGTTCGTCAATAGCCAAAGACTCAATCTCAACCACTCATCTCTTTAGATCTAACGGACAAGAATTAATCCCGCTTAGCACTAGAAACCCAAATTAGGGTTTGATTTTCATTCTCTCTCTGAAACGACCACCTCTCCCTCATCCTTTCCTCTTCTAAGCGAAAAAACTCCAACTTGAACCTTAGCTTCTTCCTCCCTCTATATATAATTTCTTAAGCTCTCTGCCGAAGGAGGAGAGAAAATCTGGAAAAATCATATTTATACTTTCAATTTTTGTATTCTATCTCTCTCAAGTTTTAATTCGAAATTCAAAGGGGTAGATCTGAAACGACCTCTGCGCCTCTGTTTCACTGCCCTATAAAAGGTAAATATAACTCCACCCTCTTTATTTTGTTGTTGAATTCATGCGCTTTAGAAATCATGCTTTACGATCTCATATTATAGAAATGTGGTTTATATTTGTAGGTTCGTTTATGTTTTGAATAACATATAATCTAAAAATCTGCTTTAATCCCTCTGCCGTGTTGAAGTATGACTGGTGAATCAACTTTTAGGGATGATGCCTTTTTTAGGATTTTTTTAAGTTAACAGTTGTAGTAAAATATAGACAGAATCGATATTCTAATTACAGAAATAGAATAAAACATATTCCAAATATCAATTACAACTGTACAGTGTAAAAAAAAAAAGAAGGTAGCTGGCAGGACTCAAACTTGTGACGTGTACATAACATACACATAACACGTTGTGCTCTTACCGCTCGACCATGGCAAGGTATTAGGACCGTGGCTCCCGTATAACTGGGCCAAGTAGCATAGCACCCTGTTCTATTAAACACAATGACCTTGAACATGAAATTAGGACTCTTAATCTATTTCTTTGAACCATAGGTATCCATAAACAGATCAAGTTTTTACTTGAAAATCTCAAGCTTTGGAGTTCCTGCCTTATAATTCTCTGAATATGCTACAGATTGAAAAGAAATTGAAAGCGAATTCTTAACAATGTTGTTAAGAGCAATGTTGTCTTGTTCATGTCAATAATTGATGCTATTTACTTCATACTTCATCAAAAACAAAATAAAAAATAAAAAATTGATGCTATGTAATATGTGATGCTGGTTCTAGAAGCTTGTCATGCCTCATTAAGCATTTCAGTGCTGTGGGCTCTGCAGCAACACGTCTTTAATATAGTAATTACTTTGTCATTATGCAAGTTTGAGATCTAGATTTCTCTAGAATGGCCAAGTACAAGTGGCTTGGAGGGTAGGTAGTAGGTACTAGGATTCAACATATGACAACATTAAATTGCGAAGTGGAAAGCGATCCTAGGGCTTTGGTCTAGTGGTAAGAGTGCAACACGAGATGTGTGGTTAGTCACACATCATGGATTTGAACCCTGCCTCAGTCAAAAGTATGGTATTTAAGTGGAGAAGGTAAAAAGACTGGTCCATAATCCACCGATTTTCTAATCGTGGGCCACCGGCCCTCGGGGATATCTCTATTATTAAAAAAAGGAAATTGTGAAGCAAAAAGCTTGGATGTGTCGTCGCACACATGCATTTTTTGTATTTTATATTTGTGGCGATTGACAATACTTTGTCCCTTGATTGTATCCTTCCTCCAATCTACAGCTTGAATAAACTCATATGGTCGTCTTTTCTTAGTTGCAAGTGTAATTTCTGTGTCACTAGTTTGCCTTCAATTAAACTAATAGCTAAATAATTTGTGATAATGGGCTTGTATGCTACTATTGCAGTAGGAAGTAGACCTTGTACATGCAAAGACATTTTACCATGTCTGCTGATCCTGCTTTGGTGGATGAGGATGCTTCGTCAGGCTCAGGAGGGGACTTAAACATGTTAGATGGAAACAATAAGCATCAACCTGTAACACCAAATTCGGGTCGTCGCAAGAGAGGTCGCAAGGCAACTGGTGATGCTATTGTTGATGCTATGCTGGAAATTGCAGCTGCTTCAAAGATGAGGGCAGCTGCCATTATGAGGAATGAGGAGCGCTTTGCTATAAGCAAATGCATAAAAGTATTGGATGAAATGCAAGGTGTTGATCAAAGTATCTACTTTTTTGCATTAGATCTGTTTGAGAATCCAAATGCCAGAGAAACCTTCATCTCTCTTAAGAATGAGAGACGGTTGACATGGTTGCAGTGCAAGTTTAACACCTCGGCAAATGCAGCTAACAGATGAACTTAAGAACCCTGTTACAATTCTATTAGTTCTTGACCTTGATTTAGGGGATTTTTGCCAAGACTTTGACTGTATATTATTATTAGTTCTTGACATTTAAATAGAGGATTTTATCTGGGAGGACTGTATATTTAGTTTCTCCTCTGTTTGAGTATAACCAGAGAGCATTTTGTAAGATTTCTGTAGGTATCCTCTTTAAGATTTATCTTATTTTCAAGTACAACATCGTTACATAGTTGGAGTTGGTTTTGTTCAAGTCTTTTCATTAAACTTGTTACATCTAGCATGGATGTAGCACAGTAATGGACTACTGACTATCTGGAACATATGATTAATCATCATCATATAAATTCAAATTTACAAGAGCCAAAGAGATTGTTTATGGACATCTCTAGTAGCTATATTTATTGTACTTCATAGTCTTCTTCAGTAGCCCATGGATACTTCCTGTACGCATTCTTAATTTGAGATGGATTTTCTGGCGTAGACCATGGGTACTTCATTGATGGATCTCGTGGAAACTTTCTGAAGTTCAAAAATGGTGCCCATAGAAGAACCCTAATTTTTGAAACAGTTATCTTGGTCAATATATCAACCAACTAATCCAAACATGAGAAAGCATTAGGAAAGCTGATTAAGTGGTGATTGTGAAAGTATTCTTTTGTGCAGCAAATTTAGCAAAAATATAGTAGTAACTAAACAATGCATAACGTAACTAAGGAAAAAATTGTTAGTACAATGTTTTGCTTAGTCAAACTAATGAATCAAACAAAATAAAAAAAAAATTTAGTGGTCATAGTTTTCATAATCCCTTAATTTGTTTCAATTCCTTCAGAAATGCTATCACACTATCTTTACCACATCCATTAATTGATTCCATATATCATAAGCTGTCGGTAGAGGCGAAATTATGATTTGAACTTTATAAATTCGGGATTTTAGTGCTTTTAAATTATTGGATTCTAAAAGTAATAAATATTTACAAAACAAATATAATATTTAGATTAAAGCGATTGAGTTAGGCCGAACCCGTAACCGGCACACTAATTCCGCCCGGACTTCCTGCTAGTTTGTCTTATCCATGCAAAACCCTTCAACACCAATGATTTTTGTCATTTTTGTCTCGACTGTTTTGCTTGTATGGAATTTGCTTTTGTTTTTCCAATTCGCTAAGAGTATAACAATTTCTTACAAAATAAATGTAATTTAATATATGATAACATATTAATTGCCATTTTTATGAAGCTAAGTTGCTTACACTAGGATGATTAAGGCCGCATATGATGGAGCTAAAACCCGAGTGAGGACAGTGGGAGGGTACTCAGACCACTTTTCAGTTGTTATGGGGTTGCACCAAGGATCAGCTCTTAACCCATTTTTATTTGCTTTGGCGATAAACATACTGACGCACCACATTCAAGGGGAGGTGTCATAGTGTAAATTATTTGAGGATGATAATGTACTGATTGACAAGACGTTCACGAGACAGTGTTAACCCGAGAATGGAGGTTTGGAGACAGACCCTAGAGTCTAAAGGTTTCAAGTTGAGTAGGACCAAGACAGAATATTTTGAGTGTAAGTTCGGTAACAGGACCAATGAAACGGACGTGGACGTGGACGTGAGGCTTGATGCACAAGTTATCCCCAAGAGATATTTTTCAAGTACCATGTATCTATAATCCAGGAAAATGGGAGATTGATGAGGATATTACACATCGTAATGGAGTGGGATGAGTAAAATAGAGGTGCGCATCCGGAGTTTTATGTGATAAGAATGTGCCACCTAAACTTAATGGTAAGTTCTATAAGTGGTTATTAAACTACCTATATTGTATGGGGCAGAGCGTTGGACAGTCAAGAACTTCCATGTCCAGAAGATGAAAATAACATAAATGAGGATGTTGAAATGGATTGCAGGCGTACCGGGATTGATAAGATTAAGAATGAAGATATTCGGTTCAGGGTGGGAGTTTCCCCAGTTGTAACGATTCGACCGGTCGTTTTATGTATTTGAATCTCATTCTCTTATTTGATGCTTCCCTTATGTGTGTTTGTGATTTTGTGACTTGCGCAGTTGGTTAGTTTGATTTCAGGAAGGTTTGAGAGTGAAGTGAGACTCTAAGTCTTATTTTGGAAGCTTAAGGTGTAAGAGTTGATCAAGGTTTGACCTTTGTATAAATGCTCTCGGATTGGTGTTTTGATTGTTCCAATAGGTTCGCATGGTGATTTTGAACTTAGGCGTATGTCCAGATTTGGATTTGGAGGTTCCTAGGATGTTTTGGCTCTATTTTTCGAAAGTTGATAACTTCAAGGTCCGGAGAATTTATAGGTTTGAGCGAGAATTAACTTTGATGATATCGGACTTGTATTATTGTTTCGGAACTTAGAACAGGTCCATATAGTGGTTTGGAACTTGTGTGCAAAGTTTGCTTGGAAAACAGATTGGTTAGGCATGAATCAGACGCTTGGTTGGAAGTTGGAAGTTCTTGAACGTAAGAGAAAGATTTTGATCGTCGATTCTTGGGATTGATGTTATTCATAGTGTTTCGAGCCCTTGGATAAGTTTTATTTAGGTATATAGACTTGTTGGTGTGGCTAGACGGGATCCAAAGGGTTCGGGTGTATTTCAGATTGGTTTTGGACCATTTGGAATGGTTGGGGCAGTTCTGGTTCTGGTGCATTGCACCTGTAGAGGTTTAGGGGCAGGTGAGAGGTCACAGGTACGACTCGGCTTTCGCATATATGGTGTTAATGTGTTCTGGGGAAGTTTTGGTTCTGTAAAGGAGAGGGTCGCAGGTGCGAAGGCGCACCTGCGTAATACTGGTGCGCACATGCGGAGGAGTTGGCCGCACCTGCGAAGTCGCAGATGCAATTCATGGGCCGTAGAAGAGAGTGGTCGGCAACTTAAGTGGGACTGGCAGATGCGCCGCAAAAGCGACCTTTTGGTCCTCAAATGCAAAATTGCGGGGCAAATTTTATATTTCGAAGGTTTGGCCTATTTTTATTATTTTGAGTTTTGGAGCTCGGTTAGAGGCAATTTTTGGAGAGATTTCATCACCACTTTGAGCGTAAGTGATTTCTACTCGATTTTGTTGACATATCATATTTTCTCATGATTTTTTGAACATAGATTATGGTATTTAGAAGAGAAATGTGGGATATGACTACCATTTTTGGAGAGTGTAAATTGGAGATTTGGGAGTCGTTTTGGACTTGGCTTGGAATCTAATCACATATTTGAACTGTAAGGTTATGGATGGTTAGATCTACATCTTGACTCGAATTTTGACCATATGGACCTCAGTTGACTTTTGTTGACTTTGGAATTTGATTAAAGATTTGAAGTTCATTATTTGGAATTGATTCTTATGGCTTTGTTTGACGTTATTGAGTTGTATTTGACTAGATTCGACTTGTTCGGAAGTTGATTCGAGAGAGAAGGCTAATTTGGAAGGTTGAAGGCTACTAGGTGAAGGTAAGTCTCTTGGATAACTTTGTTAAGAGGGAAACCCCTAGGATTTGACTTGATTACTATGTGTTTAAGGTATTGGAGATGGTGTATATATAGGGTGGCGAGCGTATATGCACTTACGAAGTTACATCATGATCGGGGTATAATCAGGATACTTTATGCCTTGTTTTGATTATGTGCTTATTTGATTCATGATTTGTTTGGCTTATATAACTATGTTCTCTCTCTTATTCATGTTAGAGATCATGCCTAGGTTTATAATTATCTATGAAAGTATGGTGCTTATCCTTGATATGCTGAATTGCTTGAGTTGTCTGTAGCCATATAGAAACTCCATGAGCACATGATTTTTATTAATTCCTTGTGCATCTTTTATCTATAATTCTTAAGCATATGCATATATTTAGTATAAGGATACCTGGTTTGGACTGAGAATTTTGGCACGAAAGGTAAGGCGTGTGGATGAAATTACAGTTATGGCACATGGGACATGATGATCAGATATTTGATTATATGTGAGCTGCCAAGCTCTTTTTTGCACTTGAATAAGGATCTGTCCCTCTATAGTCACGTGATTACCCATGTTACTTTGGGTCCTATGAGCGTGGTCGATACATAAATTGTGTATCGGGTCGATATATAGGTTTTGTATCGTGGTACATGGATCTTGTAGCGGTTATTGTTAGAAATTGAGTTTGAGCATGCTTAGATATCCTTGACTCATTTAGAAACATTCATTTAGATGTGAATCGTTACTTGCCATCTTTATATGCTAGTTGGGAGCCTCGACTCTGTTGAATTGAAGCATGCCACCTTTAAATACTATATATGTGTAGCGTTATAATTATTTTTGGAGCTGAAAAAGCATGCTTTATACTTTTCGACTGTTGATATCTTTGATTCTTGTTATTCATGATATTATTTACAGTTCCAGTTTCAAGCTCTGTTATTTATATCTAAGTTGTAAGTATCTTGATGCCTACATCTTCGCCACTACTTTTTCGAGGTTAGACTTGATACTTACTAGGTATCATCTGTGGTGTACTCATACTATGCACATCTTTTTGTGCAGATCCTCAAGTAGGTGCTAGCGGAGCCACTTGATTGATCTTATGTGTTCGCACGGAGACTTAGGGTTAACTGCACTCCATGAATTAATTTCACAGTGTCCGAGTCCCAGTTCCCTACCATTCTTAGTCTAATTTATTATTTCAAACAGCTTTGTTCATATATTCAGGCTTGTACTTATTCAATAGTTGCTCGTGTACTTCTGCCACCTAGTCTTGGGTGTTATACTGTTTTGGCCACATTTAAGCCATGTTATAAGTGTATCAGATATTTTACTTTTTTGAGGCTATTTCTATCTTTGTTTTTTATATGAGTATGAGAGGTTGACCTTGGTGGGCCTGAGAAGAGGTAAAGGTAGGCCAAAGAAGTATTTGGGAGAGCTGATTGAGCAGATCTGGAGTTGCTTCAGCTTACTGAGGACATGACCCTTGATAGGAAGGTGTGGAGTTCAAGAATTAAGGTAGAAAGCCAGTAGGTAGTTGAGAGTGTTTATTCCCACTACCAGTAATATTAGCGTTAGTCTTGTTTTCTATTATTGTCAGATTTTTACTATTAAATGTTGTTTCTTTCGCTTCGTTTTCTTAATCTTGTTGTTGTTATTATGTGTTGCTATTGCTTTTTTTTCCATCTTTCCTTGAGCTGACTGAGGGTTTATAGGAAACAATCTCTCTACCTTGAAG